AACACCAGGGACACGGGAAACACCGGGGAGACACCGGGGAGACACGGGGTGGGACAAAGAGAACACCAGGGACACGGGAAACACCGGGGAGACACGGGGGGACACGGAAAACACCGAGGAACGTGGGGACACCGCGATCCCGCGGGACACGGGGCTCGGGTGGGGACACTGTGGGTTGGGGACATCTCCGATGGCTTTCGCTTCCCCCCGGCCCATCCTGTGGGATTGCGGTCTGGGGACACCTCATCGAAATCCTCGAAGACTTTTTGGGGCTTTCCCGTTCCCTTTTTTCTGCCTTCCTTTTTAACATTTATTCAATTTTTTAAAAACATTCTTCCCCTTTCTGAGCCCTCGGCTGGCTCCGGCTCTGCTTCATCGGCGGGGACAGAAATTTCCAGTGAGGATTGGGTGAGAATGGGATTTTCCGACCTATTTCTCATCATTAATTCATATTTCTCACCATTAATTAATTGTCCTGCGAGCGCCGCGGGGACTGAGGCGCTCCCCGAGCCTGGCAATTCGGCTTTTCCCGAAATTTCCCAGTTTCAGCCTCTTCCCAGAGGATTTTTGGGAATGGGGAAGCTCGGCTGGGCTGCTCTAGATGGCAGCAGCCTCCTTCCTTGCCCAAGCACATTCCCCGCTCTTCATCTACCTCCCCACCCCTCCTCCTCCTCCACCCTCGGTGTTCCCCCGTGGAATTCAGGTTTTGCAGGGGTTGGACGGGGCTTGGAGCACCTTGGGGCGGTGGAATTATCCCTGTCCTTGGAAGGGGACAACGTTCCTGCTCCTGCACCCCAGCCCGCAGCTCCCACCCTGCTGAAGGACCAAAAATTCCCCTCAATTTCACCCAAAATTCCACCCCAATTTGAAACAAAACTCCCCTCCAATTTGACCCAAAATTCCACCCCAATTTGAACCCAAATTCCCCTCAATTTCACCCAAAATTCCTCCCAATTGACTTAAAATTCCCCTTCATTTTGACCCAAATTTTCCCCCCAATTTCACTCAAAACTCCTCCTCAATTTGACCCAAAACTCCCCCCCAATTTGACCCAAAATCCCCCCCCAAAAATAACCCCAGTGAAATCCCAAAAACCCAGTGACATCCCAAAAACCCCGTGAAACCCCAAAAATCCCGGCTGTCCTTGCCCAAGGACTCACAGCTCCCATCTTGCAGGGGTGAGGCGTGGCTGCCGTGGGATTTGAAGCGTAAAAACCTCGAGAGCAGCAAAAAAACCCCAAAAAATAATTAAAAAAAAAAAAAGAAATTCCATTTCCTGTTGTTGCTGCAGGAATTCGGCTCCCGGAGCGTAACAAGCGGCAGCAGGTGAAGTCAGCTCTTGGGGGGGGGTTTGTTCTTTTTTGGGTTTTTTTTGGGTTTTTTTTTTGTCTTTATTGGGTTATTTTTTTTTTGGGGGGGGTTTTCTTAGGATTTTTTGGGGTTTGTTTTAGGGTGGTTTCTTTTGTTTTTCTATTTTTTGTTTGTTTGGTTAGTTTGGGTTTTTTGTTGTTGTCGTGGTTCGACACGGAAAAAGAATTTTTTCCGGAAGGAAGAGGTCAATTTGGATATTGACCAATTGAAGGTAGACACGCCTCTGAGAACACAGAGGGTTAAAAGCAGAATTCCCAGGAGAACTCGCTCTTTTTGGTTCTGGTCAGGGTCCAGTGCAGCCTCTTCCCTGCCCAGCCACGAGCTGGGTGAGGGAGGGGAAGGCCCATGGCCTGACGGAGGTAGGACGAAGGGTGGAGGAACTGGAACCCCTGCAGATGGAAGGGTGGAGAAAATCTGGGATGTCTCCGTTCCCCCCCCAGAGTTTCTCTCCCGAGAGGGAGAGAGAAGGAGACATCGGCAGTTCTGTCAGCAATTCCACCGTGGGGAAGGAGGAGTGGGAGTTGGAGCCTGGGCAGAGAGCCATCCTTGAGAGTCAGGACACTCAACCCTTCCTTGAGAAATGAAAGCTTTGGGAATTTCTTTTTCCCCTCCTCGGTTTGAAAGAGAGGAAGAGGGACACCTTGGACCCTGGGATGTTAGAAGGAGAAATTCTAGATGGGAGGGGGACAAGGAGTGGCTTTTAGCTGGACTTTTTCCTTGGTAGCCACCAACTGAAATCAGTCTTCTCCTCCAAGAGAGACCGTGTTTTGGGAGGATGACAGTGAGTCGAGACCTGCTTCAGCTGGGGAAAGACAGAAGTGGAGTGAACAGAGAAAAAGTTAGGGGGTTTGTGGTGGTGCCCCCTGTCCTCAAAAGAAGGAGAGGAAGATCTCTGTTCTTGGACCCTCGGCCCCAGGGGAAAATGGGGAGACTGTGGTCCCAAACAATGAAAAACTGAACTGTTGTTTTCTCCCCTCTTGGCAGGACATCCTTGAAAGGAAAAATCCTAAAAGCAGTCTGTCCATCCATGCATTGGTGGTGAGAGCACTGTGCATGGAAAGGAGAAGGGTCACCATGGCAAACTCTTCTCCGGGCGGTGACATGGAAACACAGGATGTGGAGCTGTGTTTTCTTGGGGGGTCTGTGGCACAGGAGAGACTCTGTTCCCCCGATGGACTGAGTATCGATTGTTTGGAGGGTGGAAACCTGATTGGGGTCCAGGTTGTGTCTCACTGTGGTTTGTTGGAGTTGGGTGGTGGGAGTAGGAATGCTTTGCAAGGTCTTCATTTTGATCTTTGTGTGGGTTTTTTTTTCTTTTTTCCTTTCTTTGTTTTGTAGTAGTAGCTTAAGAAAGTTTTTTCCTGTTATTAAGCTTAGGCCTGCTTTGCTCTGTTCTCGATTCCATTTCACAGCATTCAATTGAGAGATTGCATTTTCATGGGGGCACTGGCATTGTGCCAGTGTCAAACCATGACAGTTGTTTTTTTGGATTTTTTGGTTGGTTGGTTGCATTTTGTGGGGTTTTTTTTTTGTTTGTTTGGTTTGGGTTTTGTTGGTTTTTTTTTTTTTTTTTAATCAAAGTTCAAATTTAGGCAAGATCAGCAGAAATTCACCCAGAATGATTTTAAGGTGATAAAATAAATGGAGGGGTTTGAGGGGTGGCTACTCCCAGGGATGTGGCAGCCACGGCTGCTCTGGGAATTCCATCCCAGGCCCTCACCGTCCTCCAGGGGATGGAATTCCACCCCAAATACTCACAGGGATGGAATTTCACCCCAGGTCCTTGCCCCAGGCCCCCACCATCCTCATGGGGATGGAATTCCTCCCCAGATACTCACAGGGATGGAATTTCACCCCAAATCCTTGCCCCAGGCCCTCACCATCCTCATCCTCATCCCAGACCCTCACCATCCTCATGGGGATGGAATTCCTCCCCAGATACTCACAGGGATGGAATTTCACCCCAAATCCTTGCCCCAGG